GATAAAGTTCAGAAGAGTACCTTTGCTAAAGTCATACAGCCAGTAAGTGGCAGGGTCAAGGGGTGAATCCAGGCTATTCGATGATAGCCCCTAACCACTCCCATACTGCCTCTCTCCACCTACCCCTTTCTTAGCTGCTGCTGGCTTCTTCTTGCCAATGAGGGAGGTTCTCGGTTCTGTGTGAGAAAGAAGATGGGGCATGAGTGAACACAAAGGGAGGTCAGAGGTAGCAACTCAACCCATAACATGCAGCTTCTTGGCGAGAGCTTCCCAAGAACAGCTTCAGGCGGAGGAGGCAAAGCTGCCACCCACCAGTTCCAACCAACGGCTCTAGGATAGTCCAAGCCAAAGACAGACAAAGTTAGGGGAGGTCACAGACTCCCAGCAGCCTGAGACAAGAACCTAGACCCAAAGCACCAGAACGGTCACGGTCCCTGAACCAACACAGAGACTACTAGGCAAGGGGCAGATGTTAAATGCCAGCTTCAGCTCCTACAGCGGGGAGCTAACATGCAAGGTGCTGGGATCCCCAAAATAGCTGCTGGTTACCTCTGGCAGGAAGGGCCCCTTTAGGTGACAGACACATGGACTCTAGAGAAAAAGACTCGCAGCTAACAAGAGGCCCACCCCAGAGCCTTCGTATGGCTCCCAAGCCCAGAGGCCAAAGTGCTTCCCAGAGGGCTCTAGAGTCTCACTTTAGACCAAGCCATGCCATCCTTCTTGTGGGGTCAGTTTTGCAGTCATCCTGTTAGCTTCCCACCCCAACCCCCAAGAGTCAACAGAATAACGGAGGTCAGCAAATAGACTGTCCAAACCTGAACCAAGACTGCAGAACACTAAGGAAAATAAAAAAGAGCTGAAAGACCAGGGACAGGCTGAGAAAGGACAGTGTGGCCTCCAGCTGTGAGAGCTACACCCCTGTCCCATGAAATGGACCAGACAGGCCAATCCTGCCTCAGACCCCAGGCCCTGTACACCAGCTTACAGGTTCATCAAGTCAAAGAGCCTGGTGCTAAAGTCCTTGCAGTTGATGCCGCAGCCACCAATCCGATCCCAGTCCCAACTCTAGAGACGTCAGATGCTCAGTCTCCTGGGGCATCAGTCCACATGACCAGGCAGCAGCAGATCCGAAAAGAGCCCTAGAGGCCCACCCTCTCCCAGTCACCCCACACCTGCCAGGTGGCATACTGACCTAGAGAGGCTTTGGGTGAGGTGCCAAGCAGGTCCATGTTGGGGCCATGCTCCGGCTCTGTGGATGCAATGGTGGGATTAGGTCTCCAGCACAAAGCTTGCAGTGACCTCCCATTAAGGGAAGTGATGGGACAAGAATAGGGAAGACTGGCTTTCCTCAGCTTGCTAAAGAAAAAGATAAAAGGAATGCCTACCACTTCCTCCAAGGGACTGAAATGAATCCTAGTCCACTGAGAAATATAAGAACCCTCCCCCCCAACACACACACACACACACACACACACTCATCCCCTTGGCCAGGTGTCCCCTTCCTAGCTCCAAGTCCTTTGCCAAGACCAGGGCACTTGGGTGAAATGCAGACTGAACTCACGTGCCAGGCTACTGATCTCTGTAGAAGGGGCTAGCTCCTGGGTCTCTGCTAGGTCGGGGCCTGGTCCTTTCCAGGCAGGGGGCTGAAAAAGAGGCCAGACCACAGATGCTTTGATGAGCTGTTCCTACTGGCAAGGAGTGTCAAGAATCTGCAGGTACCTTGTGGGTATAAGGCCCTCCTCCAAGCCCATGAGAAAAGGAGACTGGAATTTAGTGAGTAAAAGTATAGCTTCTATGGACTATGGAAGAAAGAAACAGGAAATGAGCAGTCACCTCCATCCCTCCACCCCTCCACCATTTAGAGCCAGAGCCCATTCCCCTAATTTCACGACTAACAACTACTAGGCACTTAACACATGCCAAGCATAAGCCTAAGGGCTTTTCACATATAAATACATATAATGGTCACAACAAACCCTAGGAGGTAGATACATCTCTGTTAGAGACTCAGGTTTCAACAGGTAAAGTGACTTAGCCACCATCCTAGAAATGCTAAAGAGAGGAGCAAGAATTCAAACTAAGAGAGTCTGACTTCAGCTCCCAGTAGATGACTGGGAGTAGAAAAGACTTCAGCTTTTCAGTAGATGGGAAACCCAGGGGTGGGTTGCTGGTGAGGAAATCCCTTCCTTGCCCCCAACTGCAGTACCTTTCCTATAGGGAAAGAATCCAGGAAAAGTTGTCTGGAGCTCCTGACATCTTTTGAGACTTTAAGAAGCGGGTCCTCCCCCCTACTATCCCTGTTTATAGGGGTCCATTCCTTGGCAGGGCCATACTGTACACCTACTCATGAGAGGAAGAAACATCTGGATCTACCAAGCAGTGGGCCCCAGACATTCTGTCTGAATCATTACACCAAGGTGAATGGACTCCATGCCATGTTCACAGAAGGCCTTGGCCTTGGTAAGTAAACCACCTGCCAACATCATGAGAAACATTCCTTGTAGGCACTCACTTGAGTGTGTTCCGTGAAGAAATCAGAGTCTTTCTTCTCTGGGGAGTGACTGGGAGCACTACTCACATTGTCTATCCAAAGCTAGAGGGAAGAAGACACGCTTGAAAAACAGGACTCTGAATATTCCCACTCACCCCATGACCCTACCCTAGGGAACAGGCACTCACATCAGTGCCATGCCTAGCCAGGGCCGCACTCCCCAGTTGCCGGATCTTTTCCCGATACATCTGGGCAGCTCGGCTATTATACTTGGTGTTGGCATCACTGGCTGTACATCCATGTTGGCGGAAGAAAGCTGTCTGGAGAGCAAAGAGAGGAGGGCGTGCTACAGGTGATTCCTCCAGAGCAAAAGAGGCACCTCCTTGTAACAGCCCAATTATTATTTATACATGATAATACACTCTACCAACACCAGCAGTTTTTCACACAGGTAAAGCTGCCTAGAAATTCCTGCAGAAAAACAACCCTCCCATCCTCAGACATGACTGACTGAACCTCAGCCCTCACTCAACCCTGCCTGAAGACAGCAAGCTATACCCACTGTGCCCATCCTTCATCCAGGCTCACAAGACCTGGATGACTGTGGAGGCCCCAACTCCCTTAACCTTTCCCCCAAGAACATCTGTCCAGTTTGGTTCCAATCCAAAGCCTATTTGAGGAGAACAATGACCAATTTCCAAGTTTAGAGAATAGAGTACAGTGTTGCTATAGACCGGAAAATCCTCTGAAAAGAGATACTGACAGGGGCTCCTAGGAAGACACTGGAAAGTTAGTACCCAAGCAGAAGACCGGGGGTGGGGACGATGGTAAGAAGGAGCTTTACCGCATTGGCATTCCCGCCGACCTGCATACACCTCAGCTGGAACCAGCTCCAGTTGGAATCCAACTCTGTGGACCTGTGTGCAAGGGCTGCATGTCACCCACCAGCAAGTATCAGGCAGGTATCCCCTGGCAGACCCATACCTGTCATTTGGCCTGGGGCTTCAGTAGGCGCCCAGCAAACATTAATCAGCCACCACCCTCCACTCTTAAGTTTGCTCTTCAATTGTCTAGTCCAAAGAGTACTAATTATTGTCCGGATCCGAAAGGAGGTCGAATTCTCAGGCACTCAAGCTTGGATCTGGCTTTCCCCCTAACGACGGTCATGGTCTCACTTCAGACATACTCCACCAACATTCAGCAACAAGGTCAATGCAGCTAACTTTTCGCCTCAAAACTAATATTCTGAGTGTCAAGTTTAACCAACATAAAAGATATTTTAGCCCAGACACGGAACAAACTGCCACACAGGCGGCTCCCTCCGGTGCCACCCCTCCCTGGCCTGGCGGTCCAGTCGAGGCAGCCACTCTCCCTTGCTGAGCACACAGCCCCGGCCGGCCCGGCAGAAGCACAGCAGCCGCAAAAAGACCCCACCTGATGAAGCTGAGATGAACGCCCAGAGAGCGGTGCACCCCGGAGCAGTCAATGCACAAGAAAACACCATATGTGATGCTGGCCCAACTCGGATTCTTGGCGCCACAGTCGAAGCAGGCCTGGGTGGAGGAGACGATGAGCCAATGGTCAGGGGCCCCGAGTCGAGGCCGGGCGCTGACACGCCAGGTAAACAGCCCACGTCCGCCCCTCTCCCTCCCTCAGGCCCCAGGAGGGACGGGAGAGTCCGTCTCCGCCGGCGCCGGACCCCACACGCCTCCCGCTCGCGCACCTTGTTGGTCGGAATCCCGCGAAGCCGCTTAAAAAGGGTCTGGATTTCGGTCTTGCTCGGTTCCGCCGCCATTTTCTCTCCTTCCCAGACAGCAGCGCGACCGACGGGTCCCGTCGTGGGCCAATCCGCGGCCGGGAAGGCGGGGCCCCGGGTCGGCTCCAAGCAGTGCCCCCCCACCAGCCGGGGGTGGAGCGATTTGTCCGGATCTGGGCCAATGAGCGGCCGGCGGAACCGGAGCGGAGGCCGCAGCAGCCCCGGGCTCGACAATGGTCGCCGGGCCCACGCCGCGCCATGCCAGGGGCCAATCCGCAGCCAGGGCGGGGCGACGGCTCGAGGGCGGGCCCAAGCCTTGCCCCGGAGCCAGCCGCACGCCCAGCCACCCCCGGAACGTGGTGCGGCCTCCTTAAAGGTGAAGGCTGCCAGGCTGGGAGCCGGGGGCCAGAGGTCTCAGATGGGGCCAGTACCCGATGGATGAGTGATGATTAACAGTCCTACCAAGCACTCATGGTCCCACCGGCCTGAACGGGAAGACAGACTGGCTGGGCTCCCGTCCAGCCCAGAACTCTACCCAGCCTCCAGCCTTGGCGGGCACACACCAAGCCCAATCTTGAGTACATCCCACCCCAGATTAGGGTCCCGAAGTTCCAGAACAGATACCAAGCTGGCAAACCTTTTCCCATGACATACTCTTGGCCCACAGACCTCCCCACTCAGTGTCTCTCTCCAGATGACCTCCGCAGTCGGGCAAGGGTGGAGGATCAGAAAAGATGCACACACACCTGACAGTGCTTTTTTTTTTCTCTCCAACTTTAATACACACTAAAACAAGTCACAGGAGAGTGCTGCTAGCCCAGAACTACACTCACCACCCCAAGACCACCCCAGGAATCCCAAAACACTGAGACCAGGAACTGGGTCCACAGCTCCTGGGGGACCCATGCATTCCTGGAGAGGCCCAGGCACCCCTGAGCGCTTCTGTCACCTCCTGACCTCCCCATCTTCCCCTCAGGCTAGCCTCAGTTGGTCATTCCCTACCAGTCCCTTCCTAGATGCAGGCCGCTCCCCTCCCTGGATCCCAGGACTTCCTTCCTCCTCAAGGGACAGGGGGGCAGCAAGGGGCACCATGGTCCAGGGCCCTTGGGTCCGGCTGTCCAAGAGAAGCTGGGCTCTGACGCAGGGTGGAGAAACGCTGCAGAAGGGCTGTTAGGGCAGATCAGGCCCCCACACACTCCACGTAATTGGCAGGGTACAGACCAATGCGGCCGCTCTGCAACTGGCCCTGGCACCAGCCCTGCTCATCCTCCTCGCTCATCTTCAACAGCTCCTCCCCTGGGGGAAAGGGGATTAGTCACTGCCAATTGCCCTGGCCCAGCTCCGCTCCTGCAGTTGGGTCAAGGACTGAGGGAGGGGGGGCAGTACGAGAACCCAACTAGAAGAGACCTGGCGCAGGCAAAGGGAGGTCAGAGTCAGCAAGCCGCTCCACCCCAGACCCTAAATGCATCAAGCAGGCCCCAGCTGGTGACTTGGAGAGGCAGGTGAGGGCTCAGAGAAGACACTGACTCCTGGGGGCTAGACCCAGAGTAGCCTGAAGAATCAGAGAACAGGGGCGCCTGGGTGGCTCAGTTGGTTATCCATCCAACTCAGTTTCAGCTCAGATCATGATCTCCTGGATCGTGAGTTTGAGCCCCGTGTCAGGCTCTGCCCTAGCAGCGTGGATCCTGCTTGGAATTCTCTCTCCCTCTCTCTCTGCCCCTCCCTCACCCCCTCCCCCAAATTAATCAATAAACATTATAAATAAGAGAGAGAGAATCAGAGAACTGGCCCTTGGGAAGTAGATGGCTTTCCTTTCCCACACCCCTGTTATAAAGGAGGGGAGAGGGAAGCTAGAGCCTGGAAAGGAAGAGGAAAGGGGTCTCTGGGTACCTGCTCGGAAGCTCAGCTCGTCAGCTTCCTGGCCAGCATAGTCATAGAGTGCCCGCACCCGCACCCCCGTGGCAGCCTTCCGGGTAGTCTCCTCATCTGACCACTCCTCATCCTGCCCACCGCTGGAGAGGGAGACAGACAGGGACAGACTCAGGGCATGAGGATTACCTTGAGCAAGAGAGCCTAGGACTCAGGGCCAGGGGCTCACCCTCTGGAAGAACCCCAGGGGAGGCAGGCTGGGAGGAACCGAAAAATCCCAGTCTGAGTTCTGCCACACATGCCTGTGAGCTCGGCGCACTTCCTGCCACACAGGGCTGATATGAGCAGTAGATGAGAGGGAACGTGGGAAACACCTGGAAAATCTACATCACCATCAACACGGGCATCCTTATAACTACTAAGTAGGTCCTAAGGTTCCTGGCACCAATTTTCAGTCCACTTTGGGCGTGAGAGGAATGAAGGGAAGGAGACAGAGGCAGGGCAGGGGACTGAGATATTTCCTTCCCACAGCCAGGTCTCTGGCTCTTACCTTGGGGACCCCGGGGACTGGGGCGGGGGTGCAGCACCATCTCTTGTGGGCACGATGCTGGTCAGAGTAACCTCATCAGGGCTCCGGCCACCTTTCTCCTTCCTGCTGATCGTCCTCTGGGTATCCAAGGACCACTCCTGTGGGGACAGTGCTTAGAATCAGCCCGAGCCATTCACACCTTCACCTACTTCACCCCAAGCCCTAGCCTCCCTCCTCAGGTCCAGGCTGAGCCCCCCACCCCTCCCAGCCCCAGCCAGCCCAGAACACATACCTCAAACTGTGGCCAGTTCATGGCCATGCCTGGCCCGTGGGTGCTGCGCCACCAGCGCAGATCCTCCTCGTCACTGGCTGCCTCGATGCCCTGATGCAGGTCTCGGTGGAGTTCCTGAAACCTGCGACCCAAGGCACAACCTCAGACAGAGGAGCCCCAAGCCCTGGCACCACCCCCAAACTCATTCCACCTGGCCAGAGCCTGGGGGAGATGGAGGAGACCCAGCATTGCCCCTGATTTCCTCGCAGGCCATACCTCTCATTGCTGGAGAGGTCGAGGTGCTGGTGTATGGTAAGAAGCATATCCTTGAAGAACAGAAGCCGCTGGCGCTCCGCGGCCTGGCAGGTCTCAAAGGCCTGCTCCATGTCTTCCATGTAACGTGGGGTGTAGCGATGCAGCTCCGCCAGCGTCTGCTCATACTGGGTTTTCACCTGGGTGGGAGAAGAGGGGCCCAGTGAGGACAAACCTTCTTCCACTAAGGACTCCAGCCGTGTTTACGGAGCGCCCCCAGGAGCGAGACCCTGGGCCAGGCACCAGCAGCAATCAGTCTGCAGACCCAGCTCATGCCCTCCAAGACCCTAGTAGCCTAACAAGGGAGGTGATACTTGGGCACAGCAACTTTGAGAGTCTGATGAGTGAAGATGCAGAGTGAGGTGAGGGCAACCTATGGGGGAGGTAGAAGAAATGGTAAAGGCTTCAAGGAGGAGGTAGAAAGGGAGCAGCAGATACACAGAGCTGGAGGAAAGGGTGCTTTGGAAGAGCAGGCCACACGAGAGCCCGTCCCAGGCAGGATGCGGTGGAAGGAGCTGCAAAGTCTCCTCAACTGCTAAGCTCCTCCCAATGCCCGAAACTGCACCGCTTCTTTCCCTGGGTAGAGCATCGTCTTTTCTTTGGCTCCTCTTTTAAATGATGATCTGGAGAGCGGGTGGCAGGTGAGGAAGGCTGGGAAAGGCCCGCCGGCCGCCGGGTACCTTCTCAGCCTCCCTGGTGCAGCGCTCCACCCGCTCCTGCAGCTTGCGCAGCTGCTCCTGGGACACGGCGCTGTCTGCCTTTGCGTGGCTCTCCCGAGTCTGGGCGGTCTTCTCCTCCTTCCGGGCCGCATGGTAGCTCTTCTTGGATGCCTCAACCTGGCACACATGGGGACAAGTCCAGACCCTGCACGCCAAGCCCTGGCCCCCGGTGGCCCAGGGCAGATTCAAGAAGGGACCCATTCCCACCCCCTTAGCACTCCCTTCCCCCCCGCCCCCCCCACCAGGCTCACCTCCTTCAACCTCTTCAGCCAGGGCTTCTGGGCCTTGCGGAAGCCGTCCTCAGCGGCCCGGCTCTCGCGGAAGCCACCCAGCACTGGCCGGTGGAAGGCGCCCCGCTGCCAGGAGCGCACCCGCTCGCTGTCCTGGCCCTGAAGCTTCTCCCGCACCTCCAGGTGCAGTGCGCTCAGCCTCTCAGCCGCCGTGAAGAAGGCGTGCCAGGCCTTCTCCAGCGTGCCGTACTGGGGGCCTGCGGGGAGCGACGGGCTTGGGCCGGGCCAGGGCCGCCACCAGAGACCAGCCCACCCCTTCTCGCTTGGTGCCAGGCACAGAGGGAATGCAGAGACGAACAACAAAGAGGTCAGCGGCTGCCTCTCGAGGTCTACTCTGTGCCTTGGTATACGAGATCTCATTGAATCTCCATCCACCACCACGTGGATGATCAGCATTTAACAGACACCAAACAGCAGCCCAGAAAAGTGAAGCTAACCACCCAAAGCATTACAGTTACAAGTCGAGCTGAGATTCAAACCCAAATCTGTGGTGTTGAGCACTACACATTATTGCCCCTAAGGGGAAGAACTAGCCTCCGCCCTCAAGGAAGGCAGCTTGTTAAGATGGACCGATCCCACGCTCCTGCGTCAGAAGGCCCAAGTTCAAGCTTTAGCTCTTCCTAGCTGTGTGACATCAGGCAAGTCACTTGGCGTCTCTGAACTTACGGGTTCTCTTCTAGAAAATAGATAGAACAGGACCGTGTCTACCCTAGGGCTGTTAAAAATATCAAAATAATGGAGGACCGTACTTTGCAAACTCTTAACAGCATAACTGTAAGAATAACCAGGAGGCTCTTCCCTCTTCAAAGGGAAGGCAGACATGAAAGCCTCAAACCTTCCGTAAGAGGTACAAAAAAGAATCCGCCTTGCCTGGTCTCCCCACCCTCGGGTGGCCCTCTGCTCCCAGCGAGGCCCGAGCGCTGCCTCACCCTTTTCCACCGTGCCCCTCCACTTGCGGGCCCAATCAGCCAGCTGCTGGGCGTAGGCCTTCTCGATGCGGGCGCGCTCCTGGAAGCAGCTGACCAGATCCCCACAGAGCCGATGCCCGTCTTCCACCCGCTGCACGGTTCTCCTGTAGTTACCAGCCTGGGGCGGACAGCAGAAAGGTGGGGTGGCCAGGGAGAAGCCCCCGCCAGGGCCGGGGCTGACAGCTAGCCTCCTCCCGGGACAGGTGGCTGGGCCCAGGGTGGGGTGGGCACCCCCAAACCTAGGACCCAGCTGCTCACCTCCCAGAAACTGCCCTCTGGGGCCTCCCCTCCAGCGTCTTCCTCTGGAGCCATGGTGTCCCTGCAGCACGGAATGGTGGCGGACTGGGGCTGTGGGGGGCAGAAGGGGAAGCAGGGAAGCCGGATATACACTTGTGGGGAGAGGAAAAGATTCTCTCCTATCCCTGGGCTTTGTCCCCACCACTCTCCCCACCATCTAAGGAACTGTCAGAGCTAGGACTTCACAGGTAGAGGTCTGGAAGGCCCCAGGAAGGGCGGGGATAGGAGAAAGGATGACCGCTTCAAATCTCCTCCTCATGCCCTGAGTCTGCCCACCCCTCCCCCACCCAGCCTCGTTCCACCTACCGGGGGGGCCTGCAGATCACTTCAGGGACCTGGGTGTCCAACTCTTAAAGCTTCAATGGTGATTCTGCCTCAAAGCTGACAAAAGCAAAGCAGGGGGTGAGGGCAGGGACCCAGAGCGTCCAGGGCGGTGCCCGGCTCCCCCGATATAGCAACTGCTGTCAGAAGCGCCAGATTCCAGCCAGGAGAATGCCAGGCCGGTCACACGATCCAGCAGGGGATTAGGTGGCAGGCGGGGGGTGGGGGGGGTGGGCAGAGGGCCCCACCGCTCCCCCCACCCCCAATGACTACAGATGAGAGAAGAGGGTACCTGCTCAAGCCAGACGCCATCACCTTTCTTTGAACAACAAGGCGACCCTTTACCAGACAAGGCCAAGTCAGAGGGTCCCAGCCACACTCCAGTAGCTCCCTTTGCCAGCGAGAGCAGACTGGTGGCCAGGAGGCCCGAATCCTATCTTGGCCAAGAAGCTTGAACAAGTGCATTTCACTGTCCTCCTAAGGAAGCCTTGGCTCCCTCCTAAGATGGAAATTTTGCCTCCTGGTCTTCTGTGCCAGGGCTGGTTTAAGACTCAAACCTGGAGGGGCTCCTGGGTGGCTCAGGCAGTTAAGCATCCGACTCTTGATTTTGGTTCAGGTCATGATCTCAAGGTTCGAGCCCACATAGGGCTCTGCACTAATGGTGTGGAGCCTGCTTGGGATTCTCTCTCTCTCCCTCTCTCTGCCCTTCCCATGAGCTCTCTTGCTCTCTCTCTCTCAAAATAAATTAATTAAAAAAAAAAAAAAAGGACTCAAACCAGTCAATGAGCAAGAAATACGAGGGGCCTGACAGTCCCAAGGGACATTCATCCTGTTCCACAGCATCCACTGATGTCCCACAAGCCTCTGTGAATAATGAGTAATTCGGCCCCGCCCTCAAAAGCACAGAGTCTGGGGCAGAATGGAGGGAGTCAGACAGGTGACTAGGCTCTTGTAAGAGTGTGCTCCAGAGTTGCAGAGGAGGGCAAGGCGGATTCCAACCCCAGAGCCACCACCCAGGGGTTAGAGGACACAGTGGCACGCGGCCACTCCCCTCCTGCCTCTTGGCAGGGTCTCAGCTGTCCCTTGCACTGACTCAAGCCCCTAGAAGGAAACTGCTTCCTCCTCTGAGCAGGCCCAAGGGACACAGTCAGGCCCAGGACACAGTATGTGCCCTCTGCCCCCAAAGCAGGACTCTATCACACTGCTCCCTCCAAACTGACAAACCACTATCCATCCTTCAAAACTCAAACTGAGGCCTCCTCACAGTCTTCCCCACCCCACTGTCCCATCCCCCTTTACACACCCCCTTGTGAGCCCCCAGTCAGGCTGTATACGATATATTCCATTGGGTTGTGACTGACAAGGCAGAATCTGTCCCCAGTCATTGGCAGAGGGAGTCCAATTTGTGTTTGTTCAGGCTTTGGAGTTAGTAGTTGAATAAAAAAACAAATGACATCCACCTAAAGACCAGGGAGCCTGCTGGCTACAGCAGCCGTGAGAAAGCTTGCCCCATGTGGGACCCGGCCCTAATAGCTCCGGGAGAGAGAGCTGAGGCCTCCAGTGGATGGAGGTGTCTGGGGACAGAGCAGGAGAGGGACAGAGCAGCTGGTCCACAAGGGTCCTCAGCACTTCACCTTGCTTCCTCTGAAGTCTGCCCCATTTACCCAGAAAGGACTTGCCAACCAGATGGAGAGAAACAGAGCCGCAGCTGTAAATCACAGGGCCTTCGGAGCCGTCCCAGGGAGGCATCCTGGGGCCCAGGCCCCCTGCCTGCTCCAGCCTTCAGGCTCTGGCTCCCGGGAGAGCTGCCCCCCACCCGTTCCCTCTCTCTGGCCCCAGAACAGAGCAAGCTGTGTGTGCAGGGCTGGCACTGCTCCCTCCCGCCTCCAAGAGCAAACACAAGCCCAGAGTCCCAGGCACAGCCAGGCCCCACAGCCCTGGCTAGATCTAGCCGTGGGGGTGGGCGGTGCAAACCATGGCCCCTGTTGAGGAGGGCCAGCACCCTGTGCCTCCCGACTTCAGCAGAGACCCAGACTGGTCCCCAGAACACACTCGACTGCGCACAAGAGCTCAGAAAGCAAATAATGAACGCTTCCTGACCCAGGTAGCCAGTACCTACTGGGTCTGCAGAAGTCGGCTGGGGCTTGGCAGGGTCTCCTCATAGCTGCCTGGGCCAAGGTAAGGGAGTCCTGAGACTCGGGGAAGAACCCACTCTCCCTATCTAAGGCAGGTAGGTACCCCCCCCCCGCACCCCTGCCGGCGCAGACCAGCCCCCACCCTTCCCAGAAGCTGGGGGCATGCCACTGGGAGGGAGCACTTCCATCCTGCCCTGCCCATTCTCCTGAGTCACAGGCTGCGCCCAAGGGTTTCTTCTCCCAGCAGCCCCTCCCGGTCCTCCTGAAACCCTAAGATGTGAAGGCTCAGGAGTGGGCGGCCCGTTGGTCCAGAGAGTGGTGCCTAGGATAGAGCTGCTGGAAGCAGCAGCCAGAGCCTTCCAAGAGGGGAAGGGGTGGGGGAAGGGGTGGCGCAGGGAAAGGGGAGGAGGCAGGGCCAGGGAGGGGCATAACAAAGGGGCACTTTTGGAAACCCGACCTGCAGCCTGAGGTGCCTGCTCCCTGATGACGCACGCCAAACCCGGAGCTTCCACACCGGACCTCGGAGCCCGCGGGCCGCCCGACTCTGACCTCAGCCCTTATGGACGGCGCCCTTCGACCGGCCCTCTTGCGGGTCTGGAGCTGCACGACTCGCAGCCGGTGGAGCCCACGCGGAGCGGCCGGGCCAGGCCTAACCATGGAGGCTTTACGATTTCTTGGTCAAACTTGTTGAACTTGGTCTCGGCGGGGGTGGGGCCAGCCGATCACCGCTGAGGGGAGGGGGCGCACCCTGCCGGGCCAGCCCCGCCGTGGACTCCAGAAGGTGACCCGGGACAGCGGCCCAGGAATTAGGGCTCTTTGCAGAGAGCGAGGGGTCCCCGGGCAGCGGGGGGACCTTTGGGGGGCCTTTGAAGAGCCCCAGGAGATGGTGTGGCCCTCCACCCCCGACGTCCCCCTCTCCACGGCCGGCCTGGGAAATTGCCGGGTGCGCGGCGCCGCAGATGAGACACCCCCTCCACTCGGCGGCACCTATTCCTGTCCTCGCGCGGAGTCGGGTAGCCGCGGGTTCCCAGAGAGGGAGTCTGTCCCGCTGCAAACTTTAGGAGCGGGAGGGGAGGGCGGGTTCTCCCACCGCTGCCTCCCCCGCGGTTCCCGCCGGGGCAGCACTCACCGCGTCCTCCCTGGGCGTCTCGGCGGGTGGGGGTCCGGCCACGCTCCGGCCCGAGTCCTGCAGCTCTCGGGCCGGGGCCGCCGCCTCCCGGAGCGCGCCCGGCCCTCCCCCGGGAAGCCCGGCCCCCGGCCCCGCCCTCTCCTCGCTGCGCGGCCTCAACCCCACCCGCCAGAGGCTGGGGCGCAGGGGCTGCAGGCGTCGCGGCCACCGGCTGCTCCCCGAACGCGGGTCGTAGGTATCGGCTCCAACAGGAGAAGAGCCAGGGCCCACTCCCCAGGGTAGCGCCGCACCGCTACAGGGAGTCAGATTTCGGCTTTGCCCTTCCTGGCCTTTGCAGAGCCTGGGAGACCCGTGGAAGCGGGAAGGGATCGGGTCTGCCCCGGCACCCCTTGATGGGAGGCCTGGGGGCTTCACTGCCTTACATCTTATTTGCTGAGCATAGCTTTCTTAAAAGTTCGTTCCAGCGACACTCACAAGCAGCCTCTTTTAAGCATTAGGATTCCCATTGTACAGATGCGGAAACCGAGGCTCAGAGACCGTTCCCAGCTTGCAAAAGATCCGTAGTCGGGAGAGACCTTGAACTCCAAACCGTTGCCCTTTCCTTGCACAGCCCTGCAGCCAATCGGAGGCGCATTCTGTGGACTGGATCTGACACGCGATGGGGGTGGGGCAAAAAGGCATGAGCTCCTCCCCCTCCGTGTTCTTATTCCCCAGATTTTGTACCAAGGTTCATTCTTAAATCCCTTCTCCTCCACCCCCTTTGTCAGTCACCAGCTTTGGTAGATTTTTCCAGATCGCCACGATGCCACCCGACTCTTAATAAGTCCCTTCTTCCTCACCCCCCCCCTTAGCCCCCACCCTGGGATTTTTCGCAGCCAGCCCGTCTGTTATTTATATCCACTGGAGCGGTCCAAGAATGTTCCGAGGCAGACCTAATCGCCACCTGCTTGACCTCCTGGTCTCCACGGCACCCGCCCCGATCCCTTCTGGGCCGGAGACCCGGCAAGCGAGCCCTCCGCTTGGCAGGAAAGAGGAGGCGCGGGCTAGCAGGGTCCGAGGCCCCGGGCGCTCAGAGGGTCCCGAGGGTGCAAGACCGTTCGGGAATGGAAAGCCGCCGCGGGCTCCATGGAGTGCGCCCCCAGGGGGACGGTGCAGTACTCTGGGAAGCCAAAGGCCAGGCTGTTCTCTCTCCAGCACGTACTCTAAGTCCCCACTCCCCGCCCCTCCACCACTCCCTGAGGAGCGTGAGTGCGTGTGCGCGGATTTTTAAACTGCGGCTCTTAAAAATAGCAGAAGTATGTTGTTTCTGAATCCGAGAGGAGTCACTTACGCGTTCTTTACGCAGATACATACGCTCATAAAATAGAAAAGGGCCCTGAAGAGAATGAATGAGGGTAATTTCAGGTGGTAGTACTCATGGCTGAGGATTGAGTCGCTACGCAGTCCTGGCGGGAGGGTGAAAATGGGCATCCACGAGTTTGGCAAATCCTACCTGACTAGTGCATGCTGGCCTTGGCTCTCACAGGGTGTGTACCCAGCAGGATGTGGCTTCTGACACCAGTTTCAACACCCAGTCTCTGTTGGGGCATGAAAAAGTCACTTTCCTCCATATTTCTACCTCTATGAAACATGACGTGTGACCCGGCTGACCTCCCAAATGGGCCATGTGCCCCAGCTAATTAATGATTGTGAAAGCTGTAAATGAGAGGAACTGGGGTAATATATAATGACAGCTATAGTGTTCGGTACTATTTTAAATCAGTTAACATCCCACCTAGTGCCTGGGGCCCTTTAGG